AAAAAAAAAAAAGAAAAAAGGAGGGAGGGAGGGAAGGAAGGAAGGAGGGAAGAAAAGAAGGAAGGAAGGAAGGAAAGAAAGAAAGTATTTCAACCAGCAGAAGGGCCTAGGAAAGGCATTTTGGGCTGAGAGAACAGAAAACTCATGCTGTTCCCTCCCCTCCATGGGCCCTCCTCATCCTGGCATCACCCCCGCTAAAGCTCAAATTAACCCCTTTGGGTTTCTTCTTATAGGGAGACTGGGACTAGGCACCAGGGAGTCCCACAGCTGCCCCCAGCAGGTGCCCATGCCCCCGGGACAGGAAGCTCAGCGAGTTGTATGTGGCATCGACTCCTCCATGATCCTCACTGTGCCTGGCCAAGCCCTGGCCTGTGGAAGCAACAGGTGACTAGGTCATCGGGATGACTAACCTGCCCCTGGCTCTCCTTGGCTACCAGTGCTCCGTCCATCATTGCCTACCTCTCACCAAAGACCAGAATTGAGGGGGATGAGGGTGCTATTGCTTCAACCCAGGGTGGGATCTGTCTTCTGGTGCACCAGCTCCTGCCCAAACTGTCAGTTGAATTTAGCTTCTGGCTCTGCCCTCAGGTTCAACAAACTGGGCCTGGACCATCTCTCCCTGGGGGAGGAGCCTGTTCCCCACCAGCAGGTGGAGGAGGCCCTGAGCTTCACACCACTAGGCTCTGCACCCCTGGACCGGGAGCCCCTGCTGAGTGTAGACCTGGGCACTGCTCACTCAGCTGCTGTGACTGGTGAGCAGGACTTGGGTCAGGAGGCCAGAGCGGGGCTCATGGTCTCCTTGGTACCCTGTTGAAGCACTCCTTTCCTTCCTCTCCCCCCACAGCCTTGGGTGATTGCTACACTTTTGGCAGCAATCAGCATGGGCAATTGGGCACCAATGCTCGCCGGGGCAGCCGGGCACCCTGTAAGGTCCAAGGCCTTGAGGGCATCAAGATGGCAGTGGTAGCCTGTGGGGATGCCTTCACTGTAGCTATTGGGGCAGGTGAGGACTGAGTATGGTGGGGACAGACAGTGCCCTGAGCAGTAGAGGGGTTTGCTGCTCAGGGCCACTGGACTCAGCAGACCCCCGGGGGCCATCCTGGCAATGTGGGAGGGGAGCTGCTGCTCTGGCTGTGCCTGCTTCCCACTTCCTTCCTGGGGATTCTTCCTGGCAGAGGGTGAAGTGTACTCTTGGGGCAAAGGGGCCCGAGGTCGACTGGGAAGGAGGGATGAGGATGCCAGATTCCCTCGGCTAGTGCAACTGGATGAGACACACCCTTACACGGTGACTTCCGTGTCCTGTTGCCATGGAAACACCCTCCTGGCTGTTCGCCGTGAGTTGTAACTTTTCCCACCTCACCACACAGCCCAGCTGGCCCCTCCCCACACTTTCATCCCCAGGGTTCACAGATGCCCATATCACTAAAAGCCTCTTTAGCTCCTAGATAAAAGAAAGCAGAAGCTACGGGTAAAAAGCTTGAAGCTTCCTGCCTGGGGTGGACAAGGCGGGTGCTTCTAGGGCCTCATCAAAGGGTTGCCTGCACTGCTCCCCAGGGTTCACATGCTTTCCTTCTCCTACTCCTGAGTCCAGTTGATGTTGAATCTCTTTTTCTGGCCTATCAGGGTCCACAGTCCAGGGCCCACTGGGAATGGGAGGTGAGTGATGATTTCTGGAGGCACTGCCCTCCGAAGCTGCAAGGGTTTCTCTTCATTACCCTACAGCGGTCACAGACGAGCCAGTCCCCCCGTGAGGCACCTGGATACACCTCTGGACCATCCTCATATTACTTCTCTTCTGAATGTTCTGAAAAATGCAGGTGCCCAAGGCATGACTCCCAGCTGTCTCCTGGATTATGTCATCAGTGGGGGTGTCGGGGCTGGTGAAATCCCCGCTCTGCTTTTGGCCTTGGACATGGAAACCTCAACCACTTTGTTCTCCCACCACCTTTGCCCTTCCTGCCCCTTCTTCCCTTCAGTCAGTGTCCCCAGGGTCCAGTCTGGCTAGAGTTAGAAGGCAGACCCAGCCTTTGGAAGCAGGGTGGCCTCCAGAGCCTTGCCATAAAAAGACTAAAGGCAGCTATAGCTCCTCCTCCACCACACAGACCCTGCCCTTTCCCGCAGCCCAGTTAGAAAATAATTCTGGACCAGTGGTGGTGCTGACACCTGCAGTCCCAGTGCTTTGGGAGGCCAAGGCAGTTGAGGATCCCTTGTGGCCAGGAGTTGGAGACCAGCCTGGGAACCACAGACTGCTATTTCCACCAGAAAAAAAAAAAAAAAGATAAAGAACGACAACAAAATAAGGCCAGGTGTGGTGGCTCACGCCTGTAATCCAAGCAATTTGGAGGCCAAGGTGGGTGGATCACCTGAGGTCGGGAGTTCAAGACCAGCCTGACCAACCATGGCCCATTAAAATTCTCATTATAGGTTATTTAAAAAAAAAAAAAAATTAGCTGGGCGTGATGGCAGGTGCCTATAATCCCACCTACTGTGGAGGCTAAGGCAGGAGAATTCCTTGAACCTGGGAGACGAAAGTTGCAGTGAGTTGAGATCACACCACTGCACTCCAGTCTGGGTGACAGATCAAGACTCCCTCTCAAATGTCCTTGGTGCTCACCGGGAGTCTGTCTCCATGCTTTGGAGCAGGGCAAGTCAGGGCCTGCCTGGACTGGCCATTAGGCCTGCCTAGCTTCGTATAGCCTGGGGCACAGGGGTCCCAGGGAGTGCTGCCACCTCCCCCACACTTTCATTCTGAGGCAGGGATTTGCTCGACATTTGCTGGCCTCTCTTCCCCAGCGGGAGGGCAAGAGCCACTAAGTATCCGCTGAAGAAAAGATCAGCGCTAGGGGGGTGTCCCCCACCCCATGCCTTTCCCCAGAAACGGGAGAAAGGGTAGCTGGTGGGTCCAGACTGGTTTCCCAGAGGACAGGAAGTAGCGCTAATAAAAATTGCAGCTGCCTGCCTGGAGTGTGGTGTCTTCATGGGTGGGAGTGGCGACCAGGCACCCCACGACTGGGCTGGGCCGGACCTCGGTTGCAGGGCTGCGGCCAAGGGAGGAATGTGGGCGCAGCCGGAGGCTGGGGCCGAGGTTCCTCTGGCTCAGCGCCCAGTCCAGCCTCCCAACCTCAGCTGGGGTCCCCGGAGCTGGTTGCCAGGCTTCGGCTGCCTAGCACCTGGAAGCTGGGGCCCCAGTCCCGGGCGGCTCACGGCCCCGGAGGCAGAGTTGCGCCTCTGAGGAAAAAAACCTTTGTGGCGCGGCTCTTCCCTTTTTCCGACCCACACTCTCCCGTGGCCCTCAGTCCCATCCTAGCGCCAGACCCCACCCGCTCTGGGGAGAAGCGGAGCTGCGAGCTCTCTCCCCCAGGGGAAAGAAAACCCCCGCTCCCGTGGGAGAGCGAGATCGGCAGTCACCAGACCCGAAAGCCTTGCACTCGGGGATGGGCGGGGCCGCGCGGACGCACATTAGGACCGCGCGGCCGCTGCCCCGCCCCCTCTTCCGGCGGGCGGGCTCCAGAGCCGGGCTCTGGCCGCGGCCGCCAGTCGGCGCCGCCCGGAGCCCGGAGCACGGCTCCAGCGAGGCGCGGGCTGTGGGGCCGCCGCGTGCCCGGCCCCGCTCGCCCGTGCCGGCCACTTGCCCGCCATGCCCGGCTTCGACTACAAATTCCTGGAGAAGCCCAAGCGACGGCTGCTGTGCCCACTGTGCGGGAAGCCCATGCGCGAGCCTGTGCAGGTTTCCACCTGCGGCCACCGCTTCTGCGACACCTGCCTGCAGGAGTTTCTCAGGTGCGGACCCGGGAACCGGAGCCGGAGCTGGAGCCGGCGGGGGCGGGGCGGGGGCGCCGCCTGGGGAGGGGCTCGAGTTCAGGGTACGCCGGGTCTTTGTCTACGCCGCGACCCTGTGACCTCAGGGGCGCCCCGTGACGTCACAGGGAAGGGAGAGGTGACGTCAAGCCCCGAGGGAGGACCCCCGAGGGAGGACCCCCGCAGGAATCCGAGGGGTCTGGGTCCACCTGCCAGGCCCTGGGCGGAAGACCTCGACGCCTTCCCGCGGGGCGGGGAGGGGAAGCGGCCCTTCCCCCTCACCTGAGAGCCGGCGCGGCCTCAGCTTTGAACTTTGAATCTTGCGGGAAGAGGACAGAACCCGCTCCGGCGCGGCACTTTGAGCTTCCGGAGCTTTCCCCCATCTGACCTCTCCCGATTCTTCGAACGTTCAGAGAACGGAGCTATTGTTCTCCCATTTCACAGATGAGGAAACGAGATTCAAAGAAAGGCTGCGACTTGCCCAGGGTCACACAGTTACTTAAAGGCTTAACCGGGATTTAAGCTTGGGCTGCTGTGAGCACACAATGGAGGAAGGACTGAATCCTGTCCCGAACGCGGACCCCTCTAGGCGGCTCCCTTCTCTCGCCGGGGCTGGAGTAGGGCGGGTGGGCCATAAGTCGTGAAGGAGGGGATCGCACTCGTTGTTACTGAACTTCCGCTGCCCTCTCAGGTCAGCCCTTGGCTCTTGGGCATCCATCAAGTTTCTGGGCGCCCTGTGGTGTCTAGAATCTCCTGGCCATGCAGGGAACCTTTCAGGCCCGGGTGTGGAAGGCAGGGTGAAGGAGCCGCGACTCCTGCGGAGGTCATGTCCCAGAGCGCCAGGGGAGGCAGGTCGGCCACTGCCTGGCTGTTTGCGGAGCCGAGGGGACCGAGGGCACGGCAGGGAGAGCACTTCTGGGGCTCCTGCCTTAAGTGCTCTCTCTCTCCGTACCTCCCTCCCTTGCTCGGTCCTCCGCAGCTCCTACTGGCGGAAATCTCAGCAGGCCCTTTGTTTTCTGTTCCCCACAGCCGGGGCCGGCTCCTGCCCTCACATATGCTCCCGCACAAGCTGCAGGACTGCCCCCTCCTCCCTGGCCTCTCCCTCCCTCCCCCCCCCACCGGGCAGTGTACACATTTACACTCCTACAGACACAGTCCCATTGTCTCCGCCAGGGCTCTTCCCCTGCCCTCTGGGTTCCAGATGAGGCCAGCTGAGCCCCCCTACCCCTCGACAGCTGACCCACCCTGACTGCCTCGGGGAAGGAGCAAGGGAGGGGGCTGGCAGGCCCGATTCTTTCTACCACTTTCTTGGCCCCTCTCTGCCCCTCCCCCTCCCGGAAATCCCCTCTTCCTCTCCCACTCCCACAGCCCCTGCCCCCATCCTGTCGTCTTCCCTGGGCCTGGGCCTCCACTGCACATCCTGGAGCAGCCTCTGCCCTGCCTCTCCCCCCATCCCCCAGAGCCTGAGCTGTGTTGCTGAGGCTTCTGAAGGGGAGAGGTGGTTGGGCGGGCACTACTACTCACCCTCACCCGCCACGGAACAAGCACAAGTGAGGGTGTCCACAGCCCTGGCTGGGCCCCAAGCTGCAGGCTACGCTTCTGCCTGAAGCCTAGGGACTTGCCTCCATTCCCTCCCTGTCTCCAAAACCACTAAGTCAGCACATTCTTGAAGCAGCCAAGTAGACCCCTCTCCCCCTGGGCCCACCCCTCTTTCCCCACTCCTTCCTGAGCTGTTAGGTTGGCCCAGGAAGGCTGGTTGCCCTGTGGGCAGACACACCCCTTCAGTGCCTGGCTGCTTGTATTGTCCTTGGCATTGGTAGTGCGGTAGTGGTAGTGGGGTCAAGGGGAGGAGGTGGGTGCTAGAAATCCTTGGGGCAGTTGGAGCCTGCACTGCCCAGACCCTGGAGAGTGCCTCTAGAACTAGGCTGCCGTTTGGGCTCTGCTTCCGCCTTGCTCCCTGCCTGCCTCCCACCTACCTGACTCAGACCTGCCAGGAATGCCCTGCCCCAGGGCCTTCAGTCCTGCTGGATGAGCTCTTGCTCTGCCTCAGCCCTGCCAGGCATGTGTGACTGGTCGTGGCTGGGGTCAGCAAGGGCGTGTTGATAGAAAGAAGCATGCCAACAGGCTCCTTGGGTGCTGACAGCCAGGTGGGAATCGGTGCAGGAAAAGGTGGGCAGCTTGCAGGAGGGGAGTGTCACCAGGCTTCAGAAGCCCACTGAGCAGTGCCCAGAGTCTTAGCTGTGCTTGCCTGGACATTTTCCCTTGCCCCAGCATCTTTTCCTGTGTGTGTGGTTTAGTAGAGCCTGTTGGAGTTGCGGAGTCAGACACACATAGCCAGGTGCTACTTCACCTGTAAGCTGTTTCATCTGTAAAATGGGGGCATTCCACCCTTTCTCAGAGGCAGGTGGCAAGGGCCGGGTGGGAGTGTAAACAAGTGCCAGGGAGCATGCCTTTCCTCCCTTTTCCCTTTTCCCATGGGAGACACACCCTTAAAGGAGCAGGGCTGGGTGAGGTGGCCGCAAGCTGACATTTGCCCTGGTTCTTGGCAGGGGACCTTCCTGGGGACTGGGCAGCCCTGGCAGGCCCTTAATCTCTGCCCATCCCTGTTCCCCCTCCCAATCAGCTTTCAGCCCAGCCAATGAAAACTAACCTGGGGGGAGGGGGTGACTGTGCAGCCTGTTCTTTCCCAGTCCAGCTGCCATCCTGGGGGAGGGGGTGCCAGCTGCCACCTGTTGGCCAAGTCCTGACTGAGGCAGCTGACTGTGCCTCTACTAGGCCCAGACCCCCCTTCCCAGGATAGGGGCTAGGGTCTTCTGGGATCCTGGGGAAGTGGAGCCCCTAGGGCCTTTGCTTGCCCTTTTGTCTCACCTGGGCTGGTTGGGAACCAGTCTGGTGAGGGAAGGAGGCTGCCCTGGTGGAAGGGGTGGAGCCAGGCCTCCCTTTCCCCTAATGTGAAGCCTTGACCCTGCCCCTCCCCCCTTTCAGTGAAGGAGTGTTCAAGTGCCCTGAGGACCAGCTTCCTCTGGACTATGCCAAGGTGAGTCCACACTGCCAGGAAGAAGGCCAAGCACAGTCTGTTGCCCTTGGAGGCTGGAGGTGCTGGCAGCCAGTGGGCTCAGGGCCAATGTCAACCAAGAGCCTGGGGATGGTGCGCCCCTACAAAGGTAGCCTGTTCCCTCCCACCAGGCCAGTTTGCAAACGAGGGCCCTGTTTGCCCTGGAGGGCAGGCACAATGCCCAGCCTGTAGGGGTGCACAGAGCTGCTCTGTGCCCGAAAGAAGTGCTCCCTCCCCTTCCGGTGGCAGGTCAGACCTGTGGCTGAGGGCCAGTATCCCTCCACCAGGGGGAAGGAAGCAGAGCCCGGGGGACAGCCTGGGATTGAGCAGGCTGATTGGCTCCCTCTTCAAAGGAAGCGTCCTGTGCAGGCATGTTAGGACCCAGCATCAGAACAAACGCTGCCTGCTGTGCCCTGCATCCCTGGACACAGAGGGGCAAAGAGCCCCAGAGAGGCTGTTACAGGCTCCAAGGTAGAGCCAGCCCAACTGGGGCTGGGGGTGTGCAATGGGCACTGCAGTCGGCTCTCACCCTGGCCAGTTCCCCCTATCCCCACCCCTAGATCTACCCAGACCCGGAGCTGGAAGTACAAGTATTGGGCCTGCCTATCCGCTGCATCCACAGTGAGGAGGGCTGCCGCTGGAGTGGGCCGCTATGTCATCTACAGGTGAGGCTCTGATGGGAGGGCTGGCACCACCTCTCCCATGGCAGGCACTAACGGCAGCCTTCCCACCAGGGCCACCTGAATACCTGCAGCTTCAACGTAGTTCCCTGCCCTAATCGCTGCCCCATGAAGCTGAGCCGCCGTGATCTACCTGCACACTTGCAGCACGACTGCCCCAAGCGGCGCCTCAAGTGCGAGTTTTGTGGCTGTGACTTCAGTGGGGAGGCCTATGAGGTGGGTGGGGTCTGGCTGAGTGTGGAGGAGGGGTACCTGATGGCCCAGGCATCCCTTGACTCAGCACCTCTGACATTTCCACAGAGCCACGAGGGTATGTGCCCCCAAGAGAGTGTCTACTGTGAGAATAAGTGTGGTTCCCGCATGATGCGGCGGCTGCTGGCTCAGCATGCCACCTCGGAGTGCCCCAAGCGCACTCAGCCTTGCACCTACTGCACTAAGGAGTTCGTCTTTGACACCATCCAGGTGAGGCCCTTCCTGAGCAGGGCAGGTGACAGGGAGCCAGGTGACAGGGAGGTTGCAGGGCAGGTGACACAGAGCCAGGCTATTGATTGCTGCCTCTGCCTCTCTGCCTCTGTGGCCCCAGAGCCACCAGTACCAGTGCCCAAGGCTGCCTGTTCCCTGCCCCAACCAGTGTGGTGTGGGCACTGTGGCTCGGGAGGACCTGCCAGGCCATCTGAAGGACAGCTGTAATACCGCCCTGGTGCTATGCCCATTCAAAGACTCCGGCTGCAAGCACAGGGTGAGATACCCCTTCTTCTCTCAGCCCCTTTTTGCCCTTGAAGCCCTAGATGGAGGCTTGGCTTCCTGATGCCACTTAGGCCTTGGTGGTCCCTGCTGTGCTTCTCTGAAGCCATCAGTCCTCCTGCTGGCCAGCTCCAGCCTCTTCCTAACACCCTCTATCTTCTTCATAGAGCTGGGCGCTTGCTACCCTGTATCCACTCTTCTCTCCCCTGGACCTTCCCCTACTAATAACTCTTCTCCCTTCCCCTGTGGCCTGGGGTTTTGCCAACAGTGCCCTAAGCTCGCAATGGCACGGCATGTAGAGGAGAGTGTGAAGCCACATCTGGCCATGATGTGTGCCCTGGTGAGCCGGCAACGCCAGGAGCTGCAGGAGCTTCGGCGAGAGCTGGAGGAGCTATCAGTGGGCAGTGATGGTGTGCTCATCTGGAAGATTGGCAGCTATGGGCGACGGCTGCAGGAGGCCAAGGCCAAGCCCAACCTTGAATGCTTCAGCCCAGCCTTCTACACACACAAGTATGGTTATAAGCTGCAGGTGTCTGCATTCCTCAATGGCAATGGCAGTGGTGAGGGCACACACCTCTCACTGTACATTCGCGTGCTGCCTGGCGCCTTTGACAATCTCCTTGAGTGGCCCTTTGCCCGTCGTGTCACCTTCTCCCTGCTGGATCAGAGCGACCCTGGGCTGGCTAAACCACAGCACGTCACTGAGACCTTCCACCCTGACCCAAACTGGAAGAATTTCCAGAAGCCAGGCACTTGGCGGGGCTCCCTGGATGAGAGTTCTTTGGGCTTTGGTTATCCCAAGTTCATCTCCCACCAGGATATCCGAAAGCGAAACTATGTGCGGGATGATGCAGTCTTCATCCGTGCCGCTGTTGAACTGCCCCGGAAAATCCTCAGCTGAGTGCAGGCAGGGCTCAAGGGGAAAGGAGGATGGGGCAGACCTGAGTCAGGCACTGCTGAACTTGGAGAGGGGGCCGGACCCCCCGTCCACAGCTTCCGCCTAGGTTCTGTTACCCCATTCTTCCTCCCCGAACCACCACCCTCAGGTGCCTCCAATCGGTGCTTCAGCCCTGGCCCCTGTGGGGAACAGGTCTTGGGGTCATCAAGGGCTGGAAACAAGTGACCCCAGGGCCTGTCTCTCTTCTTGGGTAGGGCAGACATGCCTTGGTGCCGGGTCACACTCTACCCGGACTGAGGTGCCTGCTCAGGTGCTATGTCCCAAGAGCCATAGGGGGGTGGGAGTTGGGGATGGAGGAAGGGTACTTCAAAGTCTGTCTTGAGATCTGATTTTGTTCCCCTTTCCCTAGCTGTGCACCCTCTGGTTATTTATTTCCTTAGTACCAGGAGGGCGCAGCAGGGGAGCCCCGATTTTTAATAAATCCGGAATTGTATTTATTAATTTGCTTTCAGCCTGACTTACCTGGGTTGGTTAGGGCCCTGGAAGGTTCAACACAACTGAAGGCAAAGAAAGGACCAGTAAGAGAAGGGCCGCTGCCTGGGTCTGTCCCCAGGATCCATTTGCCCTGTTGGCTCGCCCTCTGGTGGACGCCCGGGGAACTGCATAGGGCTTTTTGTGGAAGACGGGCCCTGCCACTGCCCTCTGGCGATTAAATGCGGGAGGTGCATGGCCTGCCGTTTCATAAGGCTGGAGTCCCTGGTCAGCCACACCAAGACTAGTGCCTCTGCCCTAGGCAGGTCTTTTTTGGTCTAATGATAATAGGACCGACACTGCTAAGCACGTGACGTGCATTGTTTCATTGAAAACAACTGTCAAGTGAAATGCCTTTTATCACAACTGGCTTAGTGGGCTCTAGAGAAGAGTTAATGAGACAATGCATGTTCCTGGCCCAGAATAAGTGCTTAGTGAATGCTTTCTAGCTCTGAACCCCAGCCCACATCCAGTGACTGACTGGATGTTGAGCAAAGGGGCCTTCAAGGTGTTCAAGGCACTTGGTTTTCTCATCAGCTTTTCTTATGGGCCTAGTGGGTGCTTGTAATTATCCATATTTAATTGATGAAATACCAACAGAGGAGTGAATTATTCTGAGGGTTCGGACAGGGCCTGGATTCTGTTTTAAACCCCAGTAGTTGTAGCTCCAATTTTGGCAATAGGTATGGATCCTTGTGCTTGCTTCTGCCAAGTTTCTCAGCTACATAGGGCCTCCATTACCTACACTGGTGAAAGCCTGTTCACCTCCCAGATTTGTTGTAAAGATTAAATGAACTGGTTAGAACACAGTGCCTTACTGTCTTACCTAGCCCTGTATGAGGTTGTATGTATGGGAATCATTAATAAGGGAAGGTTCCAGGGCTTTTTTTTTTTTTAAACTAATTCTCTTCCTCTGGTAATTTTTTTTTTTTTTTTTTTTTTTTTGAGACGGAGTTTCCT